TATCCGTATCCAAAAATCGTGGGTTAGTTTTCTAAAGTATTATCACACTTGTACATCTAGGAGTGTTCTGATCCTTGTAAAAAATATTGCTATTTAGAATATGAGAAAAAGGGTTGCTAAAGGGGAAAGAAAAGAAAAGAAAGAGACTCGAGTGGAAATGGAAAAGGAGTATGGGAAGTAATATCAGAGTGAGGTGGAGTGGGACAAGGAAGACAAATAAATAGGGGGAAAGAAAAAAAAAAAAAAAAAAAAAAAAAAAAAAAAAGGGGGGGGGGGGGGGGGGGGGAGTTGAGGATTAGAATTAAATAAGTATAACTAAGCCAATCACACCACATAGTATCGGCCTGGTTATAACAGATGCTGTCTTAAATTAAGGGTTATAATCTCTCTAAAGTCCGGTAAAGTCCAGTAAAGGAATTATTCCTGAGGTGAAAGTTCTAGAGGCTTTCCAGGTTTCCAAATCTTCTCGCTCATTCTTCTTCATTAAGCCATGATAAGTCTCAGTAGATAGGAAGTGAGTCCAACATGCCCATGTCTTCCTGAATCGCTCGGGGTGTTCTTTAGCCACTGAGATCAGCTCCTCCATTTCCGCGATCTTATTGATCCTAAGAATCCACTCTCGCACGGTGGGAATATGGTCTGATCGCCAATGAACAGGAATACACTGTTTTGCCGCATTTACCATGTGTAATGCAAGCGACTTACGATAGGTCTTCACAGGAAGAGAGGAATGATGGAGTAGACATTGTGCTGGGGTAAAGTCTAGGGCGTATGTAGTAACTTGTGCGATTATGTCCAAAACATTTATCCAGAAGGGCTGCAGTTGCGGGCAATCCCACCATATATGCAAAAGAGTACCTGTTGCCTGGCAACCTCTCCAGCATAAGTTAGGAACGTTAGGATCAAATTTATGAAGCACAGATGGAACTCTGTACCACCTGGAAAATACTTTGTAGTTGCCTTCTTGTGTAGAAACACACATGGAACCTTTATGTATGTGGTCATAAATCTGGTCCCAGTCCTCTGAGAGAGAGTGGGATTTGTAGATCACGTTGCCAGGCTATACAAGCCCTCTGCAAATGAGAGGCATTGGAACTTTCCAAAAAAGAATATATCTTAGATATTACATGCCTCTGAGGGGAGTCTGTAAAGCAGAGCTTCTCAAATGCAGTAAGCGGTCTTGAAAAATCCTGTAAATGTGGGGAGTTACGCAAAAAGTGGTGTATTTGTCTATACATCCAAGGCGTTAGAGTGAGGGAGGGCCACGCCCGAGTAATGTCTTCTCTAGATAAGAGCTTAGAATCTTTGAAGAGTTGACGTACTGTTAGGTTATCCTCACGGTTATACCCAGCGAGAAATGTTGGAGACATCCCTGGAACAAAGTCTGGATTCATTTTGATCGGAGTGAGAGGGCTCGGAGAGGAAGAAAGTTCTTTTTTCTGGAATAATTGTGAGCTACAGCGTAATGTGGGACCTATAAGTGGGTGATTCCAAAACTCAGAAGGGACGTGGGAAGTTTTCAGCCATGGGGAGGTAGAAAGAGGTGTCTGAGAGAAATCAGCCTCCAAACCAACCCAGACCTTAGGAATGTGATTCGTGGTCCAGTCTACTAACCTAGCTAGGTGGCAAGACCTGTAATAACGGTTAATATCTGGTAATCCAATACCTCCATTCTTCTTGGGCATAGTGAGTTGGGCATAGCTAATTCTTGGACGTTTATTATACCACAGAAAGGATGAGCAGAGCGTTTTATACGATTGAAAGAACGAATTTGGCAATTGAATTGGTATTGTCTGTAGTAAATATAATATTCTGGGGAGCACGTTCATCTTAAGAATTGCTGCTCTACCAAACCACGAGAACCAAGGTTTGTTCCATGTCTGGAGGTCTTTGGAGATGTTACGTAAGAGGGGTAGAAAATTTTTTGTATACAGTTCTGTAAGATGGGATGGTAGTTGGATACCTAAGTAAGTGATAGCTTCACGTTGCCAGGTAAAGGGAAAATTTAATGTCGCCTGTCTAATCACATCTGGAGTCAATGATATATTAAGCGCTTGGGATTTAGAAAAGTTGATTTTAAAATTAGCCAAATACTGAAATAATTTGAAATCTTGTAACAAATTAGGTATCGTGATATGTGGGTCATTCAGGAAAAGTAGTACGTCATCAGCAAAGGCTGCCACTTTATGCATTTTGCCATTGATCAAAATCCCCTTAATGTTATCATTATCTTTTATGCAGTTCAAGAAAGGTTCCAGTGTAAGAATGAATAAGAGGGGTGATAGTGGGCATCCCTGTCTAGTCCCATTGCTGATTGAAAAGGAATCCGAAAGGCATCCATTCACTCGCACTCGTGCTGTGGGGGCATTATATAAAGACAGAATAAATGTCAAAAAGCGCAAAGGCAGTCCAATGCCAATCAGAACTGCCTCTAGGTAATCCCATGCTAGTCTGTCAAATGCCTTTTCGGCGTCTAACGAGAGAAAGAATCCAGACTGTTGATTTTGGGTTAACCAATGATGTATATTTATGGCCCTTATTGTGTTATCTCTGGCCTCTCTCCCTGGAACAAAGCCCACCTGGTCCGGTGATATGATGGAATCTATTACCTGTTGTAAACGGTTAGCCAGAATCTTGGCAAAAATCTTTAGATCAACATTCAATAGAGAGATCGGACGATAATTCGCTGGTGATGTATGGTCCTTATTCTCTTTGGGTATAACCGTGATGTGAGCCTCAGAAAGATGGCGCATAGACTGCCCTGGCGTGTCTAGTGAGTTGAAGGCCTGTAGAAATGGAAGCGCCAAAACGTCAAGAAAAGACTTGTAATAAGAATTGGTAAAACCGTCAGGTCCTGGACTTTTACCCGGGTTTCAATTGCGTAATAGCTTGTTGTAGTTCAAGCGACGTCAGAGCTCCCTCTAAATCCTTCACTTGTGATCTGGAGATCGATTTAGGAAGATATTGTTTAAGGAATTGCTGTATAATGGTCTTACGTGGCCTAGTATCACCAGTTGGTTTGGATGGTAGGGGTAAGTTATAAAGGTTAAAATAATACTCCTCAAATTCCTTCGCAATATCCGACGACGATTTCAGTGAGTGACCAAATTTAGAATGGAGCAGATATACGTGCCGAGCAGCTTTTTTAGATTGTAAAGCCCGGGCAAGAAATTTGCCACTCTTATTGCCATGTTCATAGAAAAGTTTTTGTTGTAGAGTAAAATTGCGTTTCGTTTTCTTTTCCACTAACTCGCGGAGTTGTTTACGTGCGTGCTCTAGCTCAGTAGCGTATCTTAAGGCCATTGATCGTTTATGAGAGCACTCAAGTGTACGAACTTTATGCAATAAAGAGTTGAACGATGCTAGAGCCTGACGTTTTCGTGCCGCTGAGATAGACATTAGAAGACCACGTATCACACATTTGTGTGCTTCCCACCGTATGAGAGGGGACGTTTCCATGGATGTGTTTTCCTGAAAATAGTTCTTCAGGGCATCACGGATCTGGGGGACAACTGATGCATCCGTAAGGAGAAATGGGTCTAGTCTCCATATTTTGGATATACCTGGTGTATCCGGAAATTGCAAGGTTATCATAATTGGATGATGATCCGAAAGGATCTTTGGTTCGATCGAGGCAGACTTCAGGGTATATAGATCGTTTTGCAAGAGGAAGAAATAGTCTATTCTAGAATAGCGGTTGTGAGGAGCAGAATAAAATGTATAGTCTTTGCCCGATGGGTGAAGAGTACGCCAGGTATCATGTAGGAGAAGATCTTTCAGTTCAATTTTTATTTGTTTAAGTGCTTTGAATGGAATGGATGAGACCCCTGAAGAGGTATCTTCCAATGGATTCAGAGCTACATTAAAATTGCCACCAAAAATCAAAATACCCGATTGAAATGTAGCAAGTAACTTGGCGATTTTACGAAAAAAACATACCTGTGCTGTATTGGGACTATAAATGTTGACTAAGGTAAGTGGTTTATTAAAGAGGGTGCCTTTGAGAAAAAGGAATCTCCCCTCAGGATCCTCGAGCGATTCAGTAAGTTCAAACGGGAGCGTTTTAGAGAGTAAAATGGATACCCCTTTGGCTTTCACCTCCGCATTAGCTGAATGATATGCCGTGGGATAGTGAATATTTGAGAATCTAGGGACTTGGTCTGCCCGAAAATGAGTTTCTTGGATAAAGAGCACATCTACACGAAGGCTTTTCATATAAGTGAGAAGTTGCGAACGTTTTTCAGGTATATTTAGGCCCCTTGCATTAAGAGAGGCCACGGAGAGTGTACTATTGGGATTTTATGTGCTAGACCACCACAAAGTGGCACATCATTGTGAAGTGGAAGGAAAATGATAAATGGTGTGTGCTTGGGAGGGGGCCAGCTCTGCTGTGTTTGGGCGGGGGAGGGGCGGGCTCGAATGTGTTCAGGTGGGTGGCCAGTCTCGGGTATGTTAGGATGGGTGGGCGGACTCAGCTGTGTTCTCTGGCAGGGGGGGAATGGGCTCGGCTGTGTTCTAACAGTGGAGGGGGAATGGGCTCGGCTGCGTTCTGGCAGGGGAGGGGGAATGGGCTCGGCTGCGTTCTGGCAGGGGAGGGGGAATGGGCTCAGTTGTGTTCTGGCAGGGGAGGGGGAAAGGGCTCGGCTGTGTTCAGGTGGGCGGGCGAGGATGTGTGAAGAGACAGAGAACCTGTCAACCATGCTTAATAAAGGGCACGGCGTCTATGAAGATCTACAGGTTCTACTTGTTTTATTAGGAGGTGCAGTATGTGAGTCTTCTCCGAGGTGCTGGATGGCTAACTATATTGGAGAAAGCTTGATGTAGACTAGAACATTTTGGCAAGTGTGAAATTACTTCATTGTATTTTATATTGTGAATTAGTGGACGCAGTGCTACTGTTAACTCTGAGTGGCTTCAAGGTTGTGCAGCACCCATCTAATGTGTGTAGGCAAACCAGTCATCCATAGGCCTCTTCAGCTGGTCCACAGTCTGACCGTCTCCTGTATCCTGCCCACAGTCTTTGACCCTCTCCTGTAGTATGTCTGCAGTCTCTGACCATCTCCTGTAGTATGTCCGCAGTCTTTGACCATCTTCTGTATCCTGTCTGCAGTCTTTGACCCTCTCCTGTATCCTATTCACAGTCTCTGACTGTCTCCTGTAGTAATTTGCAGTCTCTGACCATCTTCTGTATCCTGTCCTCAGTCTCTGACCTTCTCATGTATCCTGTCTTCAGTCTCTGCCCGTCTCCTGTATCCTGTCCGCAGTCTCTGACTGTCTCCTGTATCCTGTCCGCAGTCTCTGACCGTCTCCTGTACAATTTCCACAGTCTCCGACCGTCTCCTGTACTATGCTGCAGTCTCTGACCATCTCATATAGTATGTCCGGAGTCTCTGACCGTCTCCTGTATCATGTTCAAAGTCTCTGACTGTCTCCTGTATTATGTTCACAGGCTCTGACCTGCTCCTGTATCCTGTCCTCAGTCAATGACTGTCTCCTGTATCTTGTCCTCAGTCTCTGACCATCTCCTGTAGTATGTCTACAGTCTCTGACTGTATCCTGCATCATGTCTTCAATCTCTGACTGTACCCTGTATCATGTCTGCAGCCTGTGACCAACTCCTGTATCATGTCTGCAGTCTCTGACCAACTCCTGAGTTGGAGCTCTGATAGGAAGAGGTGGAGCCTAAAACAGAAGGGGCAGAGTTTACAGATGGAGGGGTGTATCTTAAACAGGAAGGGGTGGGACAAATTTAGATGGGAGCAATTTTAGTCTTGCCTAGGGCAGCACAAAACTAAAATACATCACTGACCATCGCCACCGTGAAACATGGTGGTGACAGCATGTTGTGGGGATGCTTTTCTTCAGCAGGGACAGGGAAGCTGGTCAGAGTTGATGGGAAGATGGATGGAGACAAATACAGGATAATCTTAGTAGAAAACCTGTTAGAGTTTGCACAAGACTTGAGACTGGGTTGGAGGTTCACCTTCCAGCATAACAACAACCCTAAACATGCAGCCAGAGCTACAATGAAATGATTTAGATCAAAGCATATTCATGTGTTAGAATGGCCAAGTCAAAGTCCAGACCCAAAACCAATTTAGAATCTGTGACAGACTCTCTCCATCCAATCTGACGGAGCTTGAGCTATTTTGCAAAGAATAGGCAAAAATGTCACTATCTAGATGTGCAAAGCTGGTAGAGACATACCCAAAAAGACTTGCAATTGCAGCAAAAGGTGGTTCTACAAAGTATTGACTCCGGGACGCTGAATACAAATGCACGCCACACATTTCAGATATTTATTTGTAAAAATTTTGAAAACCATTTATCATTTTCCCTCAGCTTAACAATTATGTGCCACTTTGTGATGGCCTATGGCATAAAATCCCAATAAAATACATTTACGTTTTTCGTTATAACATGATCAAATGTGGAAAATTTCAAGGGGTATGAATACTTTTTCATGGCACTGTACAGAGAAAGGTTGAGGTATTTCAAGTTGAGCAGGCAGGTCTGACAACACTACTTGGTATTTCAAAGCAGCAAAGGTACTACTTTTCAACTCAACCAAATGTTAGGAGCACATCACAGTTATTTTTCTGCATTTTCAACTTTAAGCCCCGGTGCATATCAAATGCAACACTGAAATATTGCTACTTTACTTAGAAATAGCACAATTTCAAAGCTGTGGACCTGGTGCAATGTCCATATGCGGCTTGCGGAGTCGCAAAAGCGGTGTGATGCTCAACATGATGCAACTCATCATGTGATTTCAACATGGAACTGTCAAATGGCATAACAAATCACACCGGTGTGATGCTGCATCTTTCCCAAGTAAGCTCTAAGACAGAGAACCAAGCGATCACATGACTACTGATTGCTCAATTCTCTGTCAGCTTGGTGACACCCAGTAACATATTTAGTTTTGTGCTGCCCTAGGCAACACAAAAATCCCCCCCTTCCCGGCAGGAAGAGCCTGTCATTGACCAACACCCCTACCTCCCCCCATACACCACCAACCCCCCCCCCCTTCCCGGCTCTAGAGAGAAAAGGCACTCACCTTCGCAGTTCCAGACATCCCTGAGAACGAGAGTCAGGCTTTGCATACACCACCAAACGGCCTGCAGCCTCTCTTGGATCCCACCTGCTCCCCATGCCGCTTGCATCCCATCTTCTGGGTGGTGGTGCTGCCCCCCAAAAAAATGCCACTCTAGGCAAATGCCTTGTTTGCCTTGTGGTAAATACGCTTCTGGTGACACCACTCCCCACTCTGTCCCCCCAGCGCTCACTAGATCATTGAGCAGGAGAGGGGACAGTCACACACTAAAACCAGAGCCAGCTGTTAATCAAGCAGCTGGGTGGATCCCGTCAATACGGTCAGGATCCTTCCATTAGCTGGTGTGGATCTGTGATGTCTGCTAATAGCAGGCAATAGCTACTGTATGTGGGGCTGTTATTTCAAATCTGTTGCCTAACATTTTATCTATATGTTTTATGCTTAAATGCATTTTAAACGTTACTAAATAATTGTAAATTATGTAACAAGAAACTAGAGATTTAAACTATTTAAAAACATTTTCAGTCAAGTTTTTATTGTAAAAAAATGTTTTCCTTTTTTTGTTCTTGTATTCAACAGTACCAACTTCTGTTATCTTATTGCAAAGCTATAGAACTGCAAAACATGGCATGTTAAAAATAAATATAAATAATGGCTGATAGTAATACAAAAAGGTCATATACTGAGTGAGCTAGAGATCTATCACAAGACAATAAACACTTCCTTTATAGTTCAGTAAAGGCATTTGTTTTATGTTAGCCAATTTTCACAAGTCAGAGGTGGTTTGTTCTGTCCTATAAAGCGAACAGAAGTCAGGAAATTATAGAGAGCAATTTGGCTGTAACTGCTTGTTAAAATAAAGTTTTGATGTTAGTTAGAAAAGAAAAAAAAAAATAAAATCACTACAGTTTCAGGTTTTAATTTTTTAGCAAGGTATAGGTAGTCAAAATGTTTTAATTCTTAAACTAAACTATATATCTGTTAATGTTTGTCTTACAACCCCTCATTTTTGGATAGTATGAACACATTATTCAAATCACACCGACAAATAGTACATTGTTCCAAGTCATATCTCTTTTAAATTGCCCATTAAAAATATAAATATGTGTGTAGACAAAATTTAAGCACAATAAACATTAATTTCCAAAAGAGTTTTAGTTTAGCTAGTCTTGTGTTTCAACATAGTTACCAGAAACACACCACACCATGACCTCCATCTTCTCCATTACAGGATTGAAATGCAAACTTAAAGGGAAACTTCTAGAAATTTTATTTTACTTTCAAACTCCTACTAAAAAAAAAATAACAGATCACTTTCTGACATGGGACTGTGACCTCTGTGCTAGCTGCAGATCTGCAGTGTGAGATCATCTAAGGCACATTGCCTCTGAAGGCTTGTCCCACAAGATTTGTAGTGATTCATTGGGATCGAAAAAAAATATACAGAACTTCTCCAGCGCTCCAGGAGGTATATACATCCAAATGGTACCATTTACATCACCTGATTTGCTCCACTGCTGCAGCCCTCCTCAGATTGGGGAATCTTGACAGAAAACTGTAAAAACAAACAGGAGGGCACAAACACCAAGTGCATTACCAAAAACCTTTATTGGAAACCAAACACCAAAAACATATTCACAGGTCTTGAAAACGCCCTGAGGGAGGGGCAAAACGCGTTGACGCATTTCTGGTCTATACCCCGTACGTCTGACGTCACTTCCGGTGAGTGGAACGCACGCTGAGCGGTGCGTTCCAGCGGCCATTTTCTGGGATTTGTGGAAAGTCTTTCTATGTATAGCTGCTGCTGTATCTTGAGCTGGGATGTGAGAGTCCTGAGGAGGCAAAAACAGTGTTCATTACTGGTCTGGAAGATGCTGGTTTTAAATAAACATGCCTTTTGAAAGAGAAATAAATGTGGGTGGCAATAATCCTTAGTTTGAATAATGATTTTAAGTGGCAATATTACACAATGTAAGTTTTTTTCTCCCTGGTTGAATGGTGGAGCATATTTCTATCGTTGAAGATCCCTTTAGAGTGAACAGCAAAGAGGGTATTAGGATCCCTTAAATTCCTAAAAAGTGTCCCATTCACCTAAATCTGGTGAGTGTATTTGATGTTGGTTTCACGGATGGAAGGTGGAAGTTTCTTTTGGTGTATTTGAAGAGTTTTTGGGAAAGAAGAAAGTCACTTGATTAATATTTTTTCACTTGACTTGATATTTTTTCACTTATATATATATATATATATATATATATATATATTTCACGGACAACAAAATCTTTTTGGTGTTTTCTGTGGACTTTCATTATTAATTGTATTGATTTTTATTAAATTATTATTAATTTTATGATTTTTTTTATTATTATGCACTTTATGTATTGATGGTGTGTAGAGGTCTATGTTTGCGCTGGTTTATTCATTATTTATTGTGGTTTGTGTTTTTTGCACAGTGCACAGCAGCAGTATAGAACCTGTGGGAATCTGTTGGCGCAGGAATAATAGTTTATATATTCACAGATGTACTGAAAGCCAAGCTTTGTATATCACTGTATTCGGATTCAGCAGTGGGTAGTGTCATCTGGTCTGAATAGCCACTCGAATTGGCAGGCTTATGCATTTTGGGGGATGCACCCCATCCTCAGAGCTCTGAAGGAAGTGGGTCACCCCCCCAAAAAAAACATGTAAACCTGCCAATTCAAGTGGCTGCTTGGGCCAGTTGACAATGCCCACTGCTGAATCTGAATACAGTGATATACAACGCTTGGTTTTCAATACATCCGTGAGTATGTTTTTGGTGTTTGGTTTCCAATAAAGTTTTTCGGTGATCCATTAGGTGTATGTTTTTACAATTTTCTATCATGATACTTTGGGGCATCACTACATTGCTGCTTACTGTTCTTCCAGAGGCTTAATAGAAAGTTCTAACTGAGAACTTGCAATGCATGCATCTTCCTGCTTTTAATTTATTATGTGAATATATATGCCTTCTACACCTCTCCTGGTGCTTCTGTGACTTATGAAATCTTTGGCTTTATTAAACTTCTGAACCATAAAAGAAGTAGTAATATATTGTGATAGATCTCTAGCTTGTTGTGTCAGGTCATTGGATGACCTTTTATTATAACTATCATCAGACAAGAAACTCTGACACAAGGAAGGAGAAACCTTGTTCCTTTTTGAAAGATAGCCCCCTCCATACAGAGACATATGGGTTCAGTTTGCTAGTGAATGAGGTGAAGCCTTGTTGAGGTCCATCAATCAAACCAAGTGCAAGTAAAATGCAGTTTTTTTTTTATTTTTCTTGGACGTGATTAGTTATTATTTGCCAAGTAAACTTTT